TAGCCCCACTTAATTAGAGCCAGTAGGTAAGGATGGCAGCTGGGGTGCTGGGGACCAGGAGAAAAGTAGCTTATACCCCATAAGCCAGTGGCATGGCCTGGACAGGCCAGGGGTTCTTCATGGAGTCTTCATCTTAGTGGATTTTCACAGCTCATGCTGTTCTTGGCCTGGCAGCTCTGAAGCCAGGTCTGGGTAGCCTATGACCAGTGGTTTTCTTTCCAGAGAACACTCCAAAGAGACTACATGCCCTGTGGGTGAGGGTCAGCCCTCTGTGTGACAGATAACTGCAGAGAGTGCTGTTCCCTGGATGGCCATTGATGTCACTCCTGAAAGTCTTTGCTCACACCATGAGGCTGGACATGTTGGCATCCTGAGTCCTTGGGTGGCAGCAAGACAAACATCAAGAGAGACAGCAAGAGGGACTGGGGCACAGATAAAGGAAGAACCCCAGCTCTAAGCTCTCAGAGGATGGGGTCATTCCCTTAGTTTCAGCAGCACCTGCTCCACTTTGAACCCAATGGCTCTTGGTTGAATGAGTGAATGAGTGAGCAGTTGGCTGAACTGAGCTTGATGCATCTCAGAGCAGGGAACTAAACTTGGCCTGGAGTCATCAAGGAAGGCTTCATGGAAGAGCTGAAGTCTGTGTGGTCTTAAAGGGGGGCTGGAGGGCTCAATAGGCATTGAGGCAGGTGGGGGAACAGTGTGAGCAAAGTGTGGTATGGACAGAGGACAGCTGGGATTTGCCATTAAATACTTACTGAGCACCTTCTATGGGCCAGGGCCTGTGCTAAGAGCTAGTGATACGCTGGGACCCAGTTGGACCTGGCTTCTCCTTCCAGACAGTGGCAGGTAGTCACAAGCATGATAAATCACAGGTATGATGTCTTTCAGAGTATGTAACTGGGAGCTGGCCTCATCTGAAGTATCAGGGGAGGCTTCCCTGAGTCACGGAGGGTGAGCAGTGTTGGAGACAGGAGTTGAAGCTGGCTGCCTCGGAAGTGTCGGTGAGGCATGCAGTAGACAGGTGTAACCTGGGGATATGCATTATTCAAGCACTTTCTATCAGGTGCCCTTTGGTATTTCTGGCAAGTAGGTACCCCCTGGAGCTCAAAGCCAGTGCTCTGCTTGGTGGGACCTTGCAAGGTACCCTCTCAGCCCACTTCGTCCCCCATCTGAGTGTGTGGGGCTGGCTGTGCAGGCTTCACTGCCAATAGGGAAAGCTCAAGCCCGATAGATGTCATAAACAGGAAATTCCCCACGAACCTCTCCTTGTTCTCATCTGGGCGCTGCATGGAGCCATCTGGCTACACATGCATCTGCTCCCGCTAATTACGCTCCACGTTCTACAGCAGTCTGTTCCTTGGAGAGACTCGGTGTCCTCCTGTTTCCTCCCACCTCTCTTCCCCACTAGCCTGCAGTCCTCAAACCTCCCACTTAGCCTCTGGGAACAGGGAAAGAGAGCTGTGAGGGCACAGAGGGAAGAGGCAGTGGGCTGCCCTAGAAGCCCCCCAGGCTACCTCCTGTCCAGCAAGGCTCAATTGCTCCTGGGTTCCCTTTGCCCAAGTCTCACTGGAGCTTGGGCAGGGATCACTATAAAGGGCATTGCTCTGGGGAAGATTCTGGAGACACAAAGACTGATGTGTGTGTATGTGTGTGTGTGCGCGTGCCTGCGCCCCCTTAGATGCCACAGTCTAAGGGGGAGGCAGACAGATAATAGGTAGTCACAAGCCACAAGTGTGGTAAGGGCTATGATGGAGGAGGTGCAGATAGCTGTGGGAACCTATGGGAGGCACCTTCCAGCCTGTCATATCAGGCAGCCTTCCTGGAGGAGGTGGTGTCTAATTATTGAAGGATGAATAGATGTTATCCAAGTGAGCAGGAGGTGAAAGAATGTCTCGAGGAGAGAGAACTGTGTGTGGGTGTGGGTGTGTATGGTGTGAGTGAAGGAGAGAGGGACATGCCCTTCTAAGGAAGAGTAAGTAGTCCCTAGCCACCATGCAGGAGATGTACATGGTAAGGCTGGGGGACAGATGGGGCTGGAATTGCAGGCTCTTCTATAGGAGGTCATGCTGCTGAGCTTGGATTTTGTTGAGAAGCAGTAGGAGTAGGACAATGACATGGCCAGATCAGAACTTAGAGCAGGCACAGGCTCTCCCGGCAGGCACTGGGATCTTTGGCCTTTGAAGGCCTCAACTTGTCCATCTGTAAAATGGATTCTCCCTTCTTCCATGTCTTCCTTTGTATAGCTCCCCCATCCTGACAATGACCTGGGTGTGCTGCTTATGAGAAAAACAATATGATGCCTGCTCTTATTGTTGAGAACTGTTTCCACTTTTGGAAGCTTCTTGTATTTGTTTCCAGGGTGCTTCCGTAATTGAGTTCCCACCTCCTGTCCTTTTAAAGGCTTATTGAGGGAGAGAGGGAGGGGATCTATGGCCTTTAAAGTTCTCAGAAGAACCGGAAGGTAACCTCTGAGATAAATGAGTGCAGAACCACCTTTTTGAATATGAAGAAAGTGAGGCTTAGAGATGTCATTGCCCTGCCCGAGGTTGCCTAGCATGTCTGTAGCAAAACTGGACCTTGGAGCCAGAGCTCCAGATTCCTGGTCCAGACCTCTTTCCGATGACCCCTGTCATCGCTGTTTGAGGTGTTGCTGCAGGGTCTGGGATGGAATCGCATCCCAGCCTTGGGTGTGACTGGGTGTGTATGTTTCAGCTTAAAATAATTTTGGCCCCCGCTGGGTGGGTGTTGACATATCAAGGTGATTTAACTTGAAAAACACTGTGGATCCAGGCTGAGGAGGTGGAGCTATGCAGGGGAAATGTTTACCCATCTGGAACAACGTGGTGTTTCCCCTCTTTCTCCTCCACACTTTAAAGATTAACTGACCTGCTCAAGATCGCCCAGCTGATTGGAACCTGGGAGGCTAGAACCCAGATACTAGCAGGGGTTCGCATCATGCTAACAGCAGGGCCATTCACTGAGCACTTACTATGTACCAGATACCATAGCTTTACAAGCATCATGTCATTTCATGCCACATCCATGAAATTGAAATGCGTATCAGTCCCGTTTTCCAAATAAGGAAACTGAGGCTCAGAGAGATGGAATTCTTGGCACAAGGTCATCCTGTAAGTGGCAGGATGGTGGTTCACTCACGACCACTTGCTGTCAAAGCCTTGCTCCCATCTGCTCTGCCAGACTGCTTCTTGGGCAGAGGTACTTCTTTGTGCCCGTGGGTAGTGTTCCCAAGAGGTTGTCCTCTGACCACCTGTGTTCAAGCCTCCTGAGGCCTTATTAAAGAGCTCTGGTGGTGTGGCACCTAAGGCATTTGACTGTTAACCAGAAGGTTGGCGGTTCAAATGGTGGGTTTGAACCTCGGAAGGAAGATGGAGCAATCTATTTCCATAAAGATTTACTGCCTCAGAAACCCAATGGGGGTCTCTGTGAGTCAGAATTGACTCGATGGCAGTGAGTTTGGTTTTTGGTTTTTAAGGCCTTGTTAAAACCCCAGTTACCCCCAACCCCCAACACACATGCACTGAATCAGAGTCTTTGGGGAAAGGACCTGGAAATCTGCATGTTTCACACACTCCTGGGAAGTTCTGACGAGGGATACTGCAGGGAGTGAGCACCAGACTCTGTCAGAGCTGACAGCGTGTGAGCCTGTGGTCCAGCAATGCCTCTCCCGCATCTAAGAGACACAGATGACAGCATGCAGAGAACTTATGCCATGTGCATGCTGGGTGCTTGGGACAAACTGATGAGGGGTTGCTGAGCAAGGGGATTCTTACCCCATTTTACAGATGGAGAGACTCAGGCCCAGCAAAGCAAAGTGAGTAGCTTGAGGTGAGGTCACGCAACAAGTGAAATGACCTATTTGATAATTGTATTCCCTGAGCCTTGATTGTTTGATTCACGTGATCCTTGCAGCTGTCTGGGAGGTGGGGGTGGGGCACAATGATCCCATTTTACAGCAGAGGATACCGAGGCACACCAGATAGGAGGTGGGGACCGAGACTGGAACTCGAGTCTGTCTGGCTCCAGCACTCAGCTGGTAACCTCTGATGGGTGAGAAGCTGGAGGACTGGCCTTAGAGTCCCCCACCCCCATGCTGGCTGCTTGCTCTCGGGGCCAACCAGGGCCAGTGACCACAGCTGCCCTTCCTGTTTTATGGGGGCAAGGACTGCAGGGAGCTAGCACATATGGGCTGGTGACATCATGTCTGCAGGGGCCCCTTGGGGTCTGGCCCAGCTGCAGGAGCCTGGCTGGGGGTCCCAGATTCCTGTGAGATGGGGCCAGGTGACTTCAGCAAGATGGGCTGGGTTGCGGGGGATCGGTGGGGTGCGGGCTCAGCAGCTTTCTCCTGGAGGGCCTTCAACACAGATCTAGGCAACAGAACAACAAAAGGCACTGGCGTAGGAGTCAAGCAGGTCCTGGCACTTAGAGCAGGGGGCCTCGGGGCTGGCGGCATCTCCTGGAAGCTGTGGTGTCCTCGATGGGGCTTCTTCCTCATCGTGCAGAGCTGCCAGCAGTCAGCAGGCATGACACGGGGACCAGGTGCCAGGCCCACAATGGATTCTTCAGGGACAGGTCCTTATCCCCATTCTCCAGATGAAAACATGGAGGTTTCAAGAGGTGAAGCGACTTGCCCAAGGCCGCACAGCTAGGAAGGATTCAGACTTTAGATTCAAACCCAAACTGGTGAACTCCTAGTCTAGTGCTCTTTATCTGTTATACCAGTAGGAATGGGATTTGTCCCTGGCCTGGCAGCTTCTGAGCCTTGGTTTAAGGAAGTGAAAGTGGGTAGGAGGAGGGATGGAGGACATGCAGAGTTCAGAGGGCTGAGCTGGAAGGAAACCCAGGTGTCAGCTTGACAAACACTGATTTTGTCTCAGAAGCCTTCTCAGAGGAGGCAGCTGGTCCAAATTGTGCCTTGAGGCCTTTCCAGTGGAGCTGGGGTTGGTTGGGGTCTCACCAGTGTCCCTCTCCTTTCATAGGCACAGCCTCCTCCCAGCTGGCTCCCTACGTCTGACCCAGGTCCAGGTCAGTGACAGTGGCCACTACCAGTGCACGGCCAGTAACCCTGCAGGGTTCACCTCCCGCTGGTACATCCTCGGGGTGCAAGGTAGGGCCTGGGTCTCCCTCCTGCAGACCCTGTTCCCTAGCTCCGAGCACCCTGCTCTTTCCCCTATCTCTTTTCATGCCTTCTCAGCACACTCCCCGGATCTCCCTCAATTCCACCTCTATGCTCAGCTCTGCCATTCCATCCAAGGTACTTTCCACCTCCTCTTGTCCTTCCCAAGTCCTGTCTCTCCTCCTCCACCCCCTTTCTCACCTCTCCCCATACCCTTTGGTTGGGCCTGGAAAGGCTGTTCAGAGGCTCACTGCAAATAGCTTAGGCCCAGTGAAGACCTAGGGTGGTGGGGGATTTGAGGGTTGGGAGGGGTCCTCTGAAGGGGAAGCAGTGGGAGGTTGAGGTCTGAGAGCATCTCTGCCAAATGCGTGGGCCCAACCACAAGAGACCATAGAGTTTGGATGTCGGAAGAGGCAGAGGCTTGTGGGGTGCTCTCTGAGCCCCTCTGGCCCCTGCTGCCCCCAAAGGAGGCCCTTCCAAATCCCCCACCTATGCCCAGTCCCTGAGGCATTTGGAACACCAACAGCAGTAGCCCTTGACACCTGCTGAGCACCAGCTGTGTGCCAGGTGCCATGCTGCAATCTCTACATATATTACTTCCTCTGTGGAGCAGTTTGATGGTTCATAAGGCCTGAGGTCCCACAAGTGGGTGTTCACCTGGGTGTCCAGGACCCCTCAGAGGAAGCCAGTCAGTGTGAATCACCATATCAAAGAGGCAGGGACCTGTCATCTCAGAGAGCCCAAGGGGCCATTTAGGACAGCTGTCGGCAAACTGCAATCTGCAGGCCAAATCTGTCCCACCACCTGCTTTTGTATGGCCCTTGAGTAAAGAAGGGAAAAGAATGGCTTTTCTACTTTAAATGACTGAAAAAAAAAAAAAAAAAAAGCAAATTATATGAAATTCAAATATCCATGTCCATAAATAAAGTGTTACTGGAACACAGCCTCACACATTTGCTTGTGTATCGTCTATGGCTGCTTTTGTGCTGGAACAGCAGAGTTGAGTAATTGAAACAGAGACTGTCTGGCCCGCAAAGTCTAAAATGTTTACTGTGGGGCCCTTTACGGAAAGTTTTTTGACTCCCAATCTTAACTAATGGTCCATTTCACAGATGGGCACACTGAGGCCTGGAGAAATTCCGAGGTTGCACGAGTGTGTGAGGGAAACACGAAGCAGGGAGGCAGGGTAATGAGCAGGGCCTCAGAGTAGCAGAGCTGAGTTCAAATTCTGGCTCTCCCATTCACTGTGGCCTAGGGCCAGTTGCTTGGCCTCTCTGAGTCTCAGTTTTCCCCTTGTAAAGTAGGGGCTATAATAATAGTCCATCTTATAGTCATCAAAGGTGTTGGTGACATACAACACTCAGCACAGTGGAAGCTGTTACTCTTTTTGGCAAGGGTGTGTATAGGAGAGACAGACAGGCAGCTAGAACATGGGTACCCTTGTGCTTCTGGGCAGGGAGTCCTTATAGACAGTGGGCTCCTGGGCCAAGGGGAGGTGTCTGCCCAGGGGCCAGGTTCCCACCTACAGTCTCATCTCCGAGCCTCTCCTCAGGAGCAGGAAGGGGGTGGGTGTTTCTCAGTCTCCCCTGAGGGCCCAGGACCACATGTGTCCCAGTCTCTCAAGCAGCATTCATAGCCAGGTGGCCCTGGGCTCTAAGAATTCACATAGGCCCATCCAAGCTAGTCCCACAAGGGGCCGCCTGGGCTCCTGGCCCCACAGACCCAGAGCTGTTGCCTGCTCCAGCTCCTGCTAACTGAGGGAGTGAGTGACTGGCCAAGTCACATAACTTTCCTGAGCCTCATCTTCCTCACCTGCAAAATGGGCCTGGCATCTCCCACCTTGTAGGAGGTACCAAATGAGATGGAGAATGAGAAAGTGACTTGAAAACCTGAATCTAAAAGAAATTGAAACCACCCCCATCCCCTTTAGAGTTGGGTAGCCCCTGTGTCAAGGAGCTCTGGTGGCCTAATGGATAAGGCATTTGGCTGCTAACCAAAAGGCAGCAGTTCAAACCCACCAGTTGCTCTTTGGAAGAAAGATGGGGCAATCTACTTCCATAAAGATTTACAGCCTCAGAAACCCAGTGGAGGTCACTGTGAATCAGAATCGACTCGATGGCAGTGAGTTTTGTTTTGTTTTTTTTGGTACCCCACCCCCAGCTGAGGGAAAGGAAGGCAGTGGGTATAAAGAGGATGATTCTAGCCCAGTGTGTGAGGCACCCCCTGTGGGCCAGGCTCTGGGCTGATCACTTGAGTGCCAAGTGAGTCTTCCTCAGGGCAGCTTTGTTGTGGGGGAAACTGAGGCTCCAGCTGGTGGGGTAATTGTGCAGGGTCCTGTGGCTCATGAGGGGCTGAGCTGAGATTCAGACCACTGCCATCTCCCCCGGTCATGGGCTCTGAGCCTCCTCTGTGCCTCCCAGCCTTGCTGTGTGACTTTTAGTCCATCTCTCCCCACTCTGAGCTTCAGTTTCCCTATGTGTGCACTGAGCTGGATGCTTCCAGGTGGTGGCCCTCAAGTGGGTCTGGAAGCAAAATAAACAAGCTAAGCATTGAAGAGCAGTGAGTGTGTTTGGGTAAAAGGCCAGATCCTACTCGCTTTTGGGGTCCAAAGATAGGATGGCTTAATGTCTTCCCGACAAAGTGAGGAGTAGGCAGCTTTAGCTTGCCTGCCACAATGATGATTTTGCTCGATGATGTGCGGAGGAGTGGGGAACCCTGTGGTAGGCAAGGCCCTCTGTGGGCCAGTGGTCTGGAATCCTCAGCCTTGACCCCTCCGTGGCCCTGTCAGCTCCCCCTCAGGTGCAGCTGGGCCCGCGCATGCTGAAGGTGCTGGCAGGAGAAGCCCTGGATCTGAACTGCGTGGCTGAGGGCAACCCAGAGCCCCGGCTGAACTGGTCCAAGGACGGGGTGGCCCTGCAGGGCCGGGTGCCTGAGGGCTCAGTCCACTTTGCAGCCATCAAGGCCTCTGATGCCGGAACATACCGCTGTGAGGCCTCCAACAGTGCTGGGGTGGATGCGTGGGAGCTGGAGCTCAGAGTGCTGGGTGAGTCCCCACGAATCCCAGACTCATCTCTCCCCATCTCCCTCCAACCACAGCTTGGACTCACAAGGTGCTTGCCAGGCTGTGGCACTGGTTGTCACCTTCCTGCCTGGGTCAGAGTCTTTGCTCTGTCTGGGACCTTCCTGGGTATTGGGTGGGTCAGGTGACCAAGAACCTTTGTCCTGACAGCTGGGCCTTCTGAGCCACCAGCTGGGACTCCTCATCCTCCTTCCTCTCAGGCCTGTGATCCTGGTCTCTTCTACTTACTAGCTGGGCAGCCACAAGCCAGTCATTTACACTCTCTGGCCTCTAGTTTTCTCATCTGTGAAATGGGTCCAATAAGATGTAAGGCATAAGCAAGAGAATACATGTGAAGCACCTGGAGCATAGAAAGTTCTGGATCAATGGTGCTAGCATTTTTCACTATATGAATTTGAATGTTTATTAATCTAAAATAAAGTTGCAAAGCCACTGCTGGAAAGGACCCAAAGGGGAAGGACAGTGCTTACCCCCTTCTTCCTTATGCCCAGCTGGGGTTCCAGAGAGGGGACATGCTCTCTGCCAACCCTGGGTCCTGAGAGATTGAGCTTAGTCATGTCACCTCCCACTAGAACCGCCGCACTGGGGGGCCGATCAGACCAGTGGCCTGCTGGAGCGCGTGGCTGGAGAGAATGCCAGTCTTCCATGCCCTGTAAGAGGTGAGGCTGGGGTTGGTGTGGGCTGGGGAGGTGAAGGTGGGCTGGCTAGGATATAGGCCCCTATCTTTACCCACATTCCAGTACCCTGAATCACACACTGTGGGTTGTTGTTGTTGTTGTTATGTGCCATCAGTATTACCCATGAATTATGGAGGGTTATGTGGTCCTTAAGGAGCTCCGGTGGCATAGTGCCTAAGGCATTTGACTGCTAACCAGAAGGCTGGCAGTTCAAACCCACCAGCCACTCCACCAAAGGAAGACCGGGCAATCTACTTCCATAAAGATTTACTGCCTTGGAAACCCAAAGGAGGTCACTGTGAGTCAGAATTGACTCGATGGCAGTGAGTTTTTTTTTTTTAAATGGGGTCTTTGCTTTTTCGCAAGGTGATGCCAGGCATTTCATTCTATCAACCACCCTACAGCATAGGTATTAGTATCACCAAAACAAAAAACCGAACCCACTGCCGTAGAGTCGTATCCGACTCATAGTGACCCCCACCTTGGGTTTCCGAGGCAGTATCACTACAGAAGTAGATTGCCCAACCTTCCTTCTGAGGAGTGGCTGGTGGGTTTGAACCACCAGCCTTCTGGTTAGCAGTCAGATGCCTTAGGCACTATGCCACCAGAGCTTCTAGCCCCCTTTTATTAGGGGCAGTCAAGCCCAGAGGGGATAAGTGACTTGCCTGAAGTCAAACAGCCAGGCCATGATGACAGAGTGTGCTCTGGTTTAACCCTAGCCCTTCCTGCCCTTTTTGTCCTATGCCCCTCAGTGTCTGCTGGGGTAGATTTGAGGCAGGACGTGTGGGGAATTATGACAGCTATGGCTGAGGAAGGCCCAAGTGTCTTGTGTATTGGGGTTTGGTGGCCCCAGCCTTTCCCAAAAAGGCTCACGGAGGATGGGTTCTCTCTCAATTCTGGGTAAACCAGCCCCCTGGGGCCCGCTTTGGGGTGGCAACACGGCATGGAGCTGAGAGGACTACCTCCGCTGTCAGCTGAACCTTGTTTTGACCTGCCCTGCCTGTATAACTTGGGGTAGTTTACCATTCTGACCTTCAGTCTCCTCATCTGTGTAGTGCTAGTGCTGGGGCAAACTGGTTGGACAGCATGAGTTTTCCAGGGCCTGGCACCATGTCTGGTTTGTAGCGGGAGCTTGAGGATATGTATGGGATGAATGGATGCCTCCCTGCCCACCCAGCTGATCCCACTTCCTGGCAAATTGCTTCTTTTGATTTTAGGCTCATATATGGGCCTTTTCTGTTTCCCCAACTAATGTGTGAGCGTCTTGCCTCCTGAGGGCATGCTGTCTCCCCATGATTAGGTGGCATTCTTTAGAAGGATGGGTGGATGGGTAGTAAGTGGCAAGTTAAGAAAAGCTCTGGCAGGAGCCAGGAAAGCTTGTTCTAATCTCAGCTCTGTTTCTTCTTGCTGCAGGGCTTGGGGACAGTCCCTAGGACAGGTCAGGGGTAGGGGCAGGGAAGAACAGGGCTGGCTCTAGCTCAGGGATGGTCTGTTGCCAGCTGCCCACCACATCATGGGCAGGAGGCAGGCACCCTGGGTGCAGTGCTGGAAGCCTTCAGGTTCCCTTGACCATAGCGCCACCTTGTGTCAGTGTCTGGTAACAGCAAGTAAATGTTCTCGCTGGAGGTGGAAGCCGTCCAACACAAGCCTCCTGTCCTCGCAGTTCTCTCCCCCTGTCCACAATCCATATTCAGCCCTGGTCAGCCAGGGGCCTGTTGTCTGGGCCATACATCAGCCTCATCAGCATAACCCAAGCCCCCTCCAGATAAACACTCCCTCACTCTGATCTTGATGAGCCCTTGACCTTTTTTATTCAGACGACTGCTTTGGGCAAATCATTCCTCTCTTGGCCTATGTATTGCCTTCAACATGGGAAGGCAGTAGTGACCTGAGTGATTTTCAGCTGCAGCTCTATGGCTACTGGTACCTTCCCACCACAGTGCTTCCAGGCACTTTTGCAGTTAGAGCTATACTATGGGTTATTGCATTTAAAAAAAAAAAAAAAAAAAAGTTCTAGGGTTGAAGACCCAATGCACCCTCCAGGCTAGCATCTGGTCTGTATGAATCCTTCTAGTCCCAACAGCTCTGAAGTCCTAGTTCCCTGGATGGTGAGAAGGGTGGAGCAAGATGGCATCTCAGGGAGAAGCTACAGGAGCCGGGAGGGGTGCAAGTGCACGTGTATCCATGTGAGTGTGGGTATGTGTGTGCATGTGCATGTGTGTATGTATGTGTGTGCGTGCATATGTGTCTGTGTGTCTCAAGTGGAGAGCAGGCCCCTGGAAGTGGGGCACTTCAGCCAGCATCCTGGCCAGGTATTAAAGAAAACAGCAAAGGATTCCATGAGAAAACAGGTACAGAGAGATGAAGTAACTTGCCCAAAGATACCCAGAGAGTGAGTGGACATGAACACAGCTCCCCAGGTCCTAGGCCCTTTTCCTCAACCAGAGGCAAGTACCAAACAGGAAAAGACTTTCCAGCACTTTAAGATAGGCACTGCCAGTGTTGGGTGGAGTGGGGCAAGGGAACCTCCTGAAAGAGCGCAGACACTTAGGATGCCTTTGGGTGCCACATCTTGACTCCCACCTCATGCCCACCCAAAGGGGCTAGCTGATCCCTCCCTCCAGTGGCTCCTTCTTCCCTCCCAGTGGAGAGGATGAAGGACACAGAATTTTCCACAAAGGCTGCCCCAAGCTGTGAGAGAGATGGCAGATAGAGTGAGGGGTGTTATTAATGAGAAATAGTATTAGCAATTATTGAGAGTCCTGATGACTGGTGATGGCAGAAGTAACAGGTGTGGTATGATGGAGGGGCTTAGGGTGCTGACCTCTGAGCCTGGGTTTGCAGCCCTGGCCTCTGACAGCTCCTGCAGCCTCTGCTTCCACCCAGTTAAGAAGGCAGGCAAGGGCTGAGTGCGTAGAGTTCAAGTGCAGCTGCCGCTATCCTGGGGGCTGGCGGGGTAGATGGAACTGGGACTCACACAGGTCATGCACTCTGCACTCAGCTGTGTCACTGGGCAGCTCTGCTGCTCACCTGTGTGTGCTGCTTGGATGAGTGGATCACTCATTCACTTACTGTCTGCAGGTCCTGCTCTCAGAGAGATGGCTGTATGCAAAGCCAAGTGAGTGGCTGCATGTTCAGCACCCACTGTGCACCAGGCCCTGTGGAGCCGATAGGCTGGGGGCAAAGACAGATAAACGGTGGCAGTTCAACGTGAGGTGTACTCGAGAAGGAAGTCCATGTGGGACGTCATTCACGGAGGGGCTGGAGGGTATAGAAAGCAAAGTGACCACCCATGCATGCTAAGTGAACAGCCTGGGCAGAGCAGGTGCTGGCCCCCATTCATACCTTGATCCAGTGGCATAATGCAGGGCAAAGAGCATGGCAGGCACCTTCATTTATTCATTCAGTTAGCAGAGGTTGCTGCACACCTGGAGTCCCTGGGTGGTGGAGATGGTTAATGGACTCAGCTGTGAACCAAAAGGTTGGAGTCCAAGCAGAGACACCTTGGAAGAAAGGCTAGGGACTCTACCTCTCAAACTTCAGCTATTGAGAAGCCTGCAGGGCACGACAGCTGGTCTCTGCTTCCCTGGAGCAAGAGAGGAAGGAGGAGAGTCAGGAGTAGGAGGAGGACACGGAATGTGTGGCTAATTCCCTCCATGAACAACTGCCTCCTTCGCCACGAGACCAGAACTGAATGGTGCCTGGCTACCATTACTGAACAACTTGACCAAAGACTCCACAGAAGAATCCTGATCAAAAGGGAGAAAATGCAGAACAGAATTTCAAGTTCTCATGGAATCCAGATTTTCTAGAGCCATGGAGGCTGAGTAAACCCCTGAAACTATTGCCCTGAAATAATCTCCAAACCATAAACCAGAAATACCCTCTGAAGTCTTCTTAAAAACTGAGCAATAGTTTAACCAGTTAAAAAAAAAAAAAAAGTCTCCCTTGAGCATTATGTTTTTTAAAGAACTATATATGCAATCAAAATGGCAACAGTAATTGGAAAGACTAGATAGGACCCTTGGGAGGGTAGTGAATTGGTGTTAATGAGGGAGGAATAGTTCAGGGAAGGAAGGGAGAGTGGTTACACAACTTGAATGTAGTCAGTGTCACTGTATGTGTCGAGACTCGAAATGGTGTGTGTTCTCAACAGCAACAAAAGTACAACTAATGACAGAAAACCCTGTGGGATCACCATGAGTCAGAATCAGTGTGGCAGCAGCTGGTTTCCACTGCACATCTACTATGTGCCAGGTGCTGCACTGGGGCCGAGGATGCAGGAGGCAGCCAGAGATGTTGGTTCTTGTGGAAAACCCATGAGTGGAGAGAGACAGACACTAAAAATAAAGACCTACATGTGTATTCTGGAGCAGGTTGGGAAGTTAGAAGTGATGGGAAAACCCCCTCAAAACGAAAACACAGGGCAGTCTGGGCGTGCCGGGTGGGGGCACCGTTCTAAAGGAGGTGGCCCCACTGAGGAGGGAAACAGAATAGGCTTGTGGGCCCCTCGGGAGACTGGGAGCCCATGTGGACATGCAGCATGAAGTGGGGAGGTGCTCTCAGGGCAGGTGCTTCTCCCAGTCTGGAGGTTTGAGAGCTGCTTGGAACCACATACTGAAGGGTGAGCAACCCTTGCAAAGGAGGAGCCCTGGGTTGGGGGTGGGGGACAGTATGAGCTGGGTGTGGAGCTAGAAGGTATGTTTGGTGCTGATGGTCCTGTGTGCCCTGCCAGGCACGCCTAAGCCGCAGGTCACGTGGCGGAAGAGCCTGTCCTCAGAACCTCTGCTTGGCCGGCCGGGTGTGGCAGTGCTAGATGAAGGGTCTCTGTTCCTGGCCTCAGTCTCGCCCACGGACAGCGGGGACTACGAGTGTCAGGCCACCAACGAGGCAGGCTCTGCGTCCAGAAGGGCCAAGTTGGTGGTCTACGGTGAGCAGGGACCCTAGAACTGGGGTGCCCAGGGGTGGTAATGCTGGCTCCCCGGGGCTCATGAGCTTGCTTACGGGGGAGGCTGCAGTTTCCTGCCCTGGAGTCCAAGAGAGGGGAGAGTTTGAGGATGTTGGGAGAGCTGCAGGTTGTACTGGGTGTCCCCCCACCCCCAGAGAGACCCCACAAGGAGACCATGTACAGAGAAACACCCCAGACTCCACAAATGGGTTTTAAAATGGTCTAATAAGTGAGTTGATTTTAAAATGAGCCCCATTTTAATGAAAAGCTTCAATGCCCACTTCTGGGGTGTACAGAGGGAGGGGAGCCCTGCCCCTTTGCCCTAATATAGGCATAATGGGCAAATGCTCCCCTTGCCGGATCTGAGCCTTGGTCTATTTGACTGGTTCTAAATGGTCACCTTATGGAGCTCTGGTGGTGTGGTGCCTAAGGCATTTGACTGCTAACCAGAAGGTTGGCAGTTCAAACCCACTAGCTATTCTGAGGAAGGAAGATGGGGCAATCTACTTCCGTAAAGATTTACTGCCTTGAAAACCCAATGAGGGTCACTATGAGTTGGAATCAATTCGATGGCAGTAGGTGTGTTTATTTGTTTTTAAATAGTCACTTTGTACTTTTCACTTGAGCAGCTACCCTGCTCATCATCTAATGGGTATGAAGACATACCCATGCTTCAGATTCTGACTTGGCAGGGACCAGCTTGGGGCTTTCCTGGGGAATGTGACAAGGGGCTGGATGTGAGAATAGGATGGATCCAGGGGTCACAGCATCTTGCAAAGCTGGGTGTCAGGGCATCTGTAGCTAGGCCAACCGAGGGTGTGCTCATCCGAGAAGGGCTGCTGTGGTCTCCTGTTTGACGTCCTGAGAGATATAGCATCCCTAGGCCTGCAGGGCCCCCCGAGACCACAGCCAGACCAGGGGCCAGAGAATCTGGGAGCCAGGAGGGAGCCAGGACTTCCTGCCCAAGCCAGGTCCAGGTGGATGTGACTCTCTAAGTAGTGGGCTGGTGGGCAGCTCCTCTGCTTCTCTTTGCTCCCCAAGTGCCCCCCAACATCCGGGCGGATGGACGCAAGGCCAACGTATCAGGCATGACTGGGCAGTCCCTGACGCTGGAGTGTGACGCAAATGGCTTTCCCACCCCTGAGATCGAGTGGCTCAAGGATGGGCAGCTGGTGGGTGACACTTTGGGGCAGACAGGCTGGAGGGTAGGATCTGTATATGGGGAAGAGCCTTCTGGATGGGTGTGCTCTGTGTGTCTACCGTGTGGGGGTGAAATTGTGACAGGGGTTGCTGAGGATGGCAGAGAGGTGGAATTTGGGTTAGTGGGGACTGTGGTCTCATCATGAAGCCTGGAAGACTGCATGGTGGAGAGGGTAGGGCATGGGGATTCTGGTCACCAACCAGCTGTGGGACCTTGGGCAAGTCTCTTACCTTCCTTAGGTCTCAGTTTTCTCATCACTAAAGTGAGTGACTCAACAGCTCTCTCTGGCCTTGTCCACCCAGATCCCTGAGGCTGGCAACCACTACCTCCTGGATGGGTCCCGGTCTCTCCACTTCCCCAGGATCCAGGAGGGCGACTCTGGCCTCTACTCCTGCCGGGCTGAGAACCAGGCTGGGACGGCCCAGCGGGACTTTGAGCTCCTGGTGCTCAGTGAGTGAGCCCTGGGGGCCAGAGGAAGAAGGCAGACTTTACAGGGGTTGGGTAGGGGTGATAGAATGGCTGGAGGCCTTGCTCCCTTCCTTTGTGTGTGTTCAGCTGTTTATATTGACCACCTACTGTGTGCCAGGCCACAGGGGGATCCAGACAGACCTAGACACTGTCCTCATGGAGTTAAGAGGTCGGGGGAGACAGTAGATAATCATGCAATTAATCAAGTAATTACCATGGTGTTAGTGCTACAAATGGGTGGTACATTCTACCAAGAAGCACAGTGCAGTGGTCCATCCAGCCCAGGGCTCTGGGAGAGCTCCTTGAAGTCAAATAGGTGGTAGGGAGGGTGCCCCAGGTAGGGGGGCTCGCACATGCAAAGTCTCTGCCAGAGGAGGGGCTTAGCAGGTTTGAGGAGTTTTCACCCCTTACTCCATCATCCCCCCCCCACCCAGTCCCACCTTCTGTGCTTGGAGCTGGGGCTGCCCAGGAGGTGCTGGGCCTGGCAGGTGGAGACGTGGAGCTGGAGTGCCGGACTACAGGGGTCCCCTCGCCCCAGGTGGAGTGGACCAAGGACGGGCAGTGAGTGGTCCCTGGCGGGTGGCATGGAGGTGGTGCCCAGGCTGGGCAGGGTGATAGGGGACACTGGGAGGTTGTTCTGGGGGGGGGGGGAGGACCCTGACTGGCATTGTACCTGCCTCACAGTGCCTACCCTCTACTGGGATTCTGTTAGAGGGCAACTCAGGCCCCTTGCATTGCCAGCCTTGAGACTGCCCAGGCCAGACTCTGGTCTCACCTCATCCCATCCTTGTGCTGAAAAGCCCCTCACTCAGTCTGCCTCCTCCTTTTTCTTTATCTCCATCTCTCTTTCTCTCTTCTTTTTTATTGAGGTAAAATTCATATAACATAAAGTCAACCATTTCCAAGTGTACAGTTCTGTGATGCTTAGTACATTCACAATGCCAGGCAGCCATCACTCTGTCTAGTTCCAGAATGTGTTCTTCATTCTCAAAGGAAGCCCCATACCCATTAGCAGTCATCCCCAGTCCTCCCACCCCAGTTCCTGATAACCACAGATCCACTTCCTGTCTCTATGGATCTGCCTAGTCTGAACATTTCACCCAGATGGGACTATACAATATGTGGCCTGTTGTGTCTGACTCATTTCCCTCAGCATCATGTTTGCAGGGTCCCTCTTGTTGCCCAGGTATCACTGCTTCATCCCTGTTTATGGCTGCCTAACACTCCCTTGTATGGTTATGCCATAGTGTGTTAATTCATTCCTCAGTTGACAGGCATTTGGGTGGTTTCCACTTTTTGGCTATTGTGAATCATTCAGCCTTCCTTTTCACAGTCATTTTCATGATTGTCAAAGTGCCTTTGCCCTAGGATGAAAGTAAAGGGCGACTTCATGCTGACAGAACAGTTCCTTGTGCCAGGCCCTGTGCTGGGCACAGGGAGAGAGCTGTGAGCAAAACTGTCCCTCATGGGCTTTGGGACCATGGAGGAGACAGACGCAAGCATTTTCAGCATATAGGTCTGTATCCTATCACAGGCACTGGGATGGGGACTGTCATTGCTGGGTGCTATCAAGTTGATTTTGACTCATAGCAACCCCAAGTGACACAGTAAAAGTGCCTCATAGGGTTTTCTTGGCTGTAATCTTTATGGAAGCACACGACCAGGTCTTTTCTCGCTTGGAGCTACTGGGTGGGTTTGAACTGCCAGCCTTTGAGTTTGCATCCAAGTGCTTAACTGCTATGCCATCAGGGTTTCTGGGGTAGGGACTAGCAGTGGGGCATCTGCATTGTGCTAAGGCAGAAACCCTGGCACAGGAAGGGTAGGTGAGCTGCCTGTAGTCACCCAGGGTCAGCAGTAGAGGCAGGATTAGAACCCTGCGTGTCTGGTTCCACAGCCCATGCTTTTCACCCCATGTGCTGCTTTGAGAATCACTAGGATGAAGTAGGGAGCTCTGGTGGCATAGTGCCTAAGGCATTTGACTGCTAACCAGAAGTCTGGTGGTTCCTCAGAGGGAAGACTGGGCAATCTGCTTCTGTAGAGATACCGCCTCGGAAACCCAAGAAGGGCTCGTAATAAGTTGGAATTAACTTGATGGCAGTGAGTTTTGTTTTGAGGATGAAGTAGGCCTTGAACTAGACTTTTAAGAGCCAGGTAGGACCTGGAGAAGATAAAGCCAAGAGAGAGAAAGTACTTGGAGAGGATAAAGGCACTGTAGTTGGAGGGAACAACATGGGCAAAGGTGTAGAGGTGTAAGTCTACAGGTCACGATTGAGAATAGAGCCCAGGCTATGTTTGGAGCTGTAGAAGATAAGATGGAATGAACCCACATGAGGCCAATAGTTCAGAGGCAGGGCCTTAACCTCTCTGTGGCTCAGTTTCCTCTTCTGTGTGATGGGGCCAGGAGTCCTTGGGTGGTACACAGGGTTAAGGTGCTCAACTGCTAACTGAAAAATCAGCCATTAAAAACCCTGTGGAGCTCTGACGTTGGAAACCCTATGGAAATCTGAAGCATGGTTTATGCGGTGGATAAGGCATTCTATAAGTCCATGGATGGTGGTTTTGGCAGAAGCATTGCATGCAGGGAAGGCGGCTTCCTGGCGGAGTGGGTTCCCTTCAGGCGTTAATTGGTAGAAGAGACTGGCATGAGATGGAGTAGCAGGTTGGCCAGCCATGGAACAAGAAAGCCAAGTGTCCTTTGGGCAGGAAGATTCCTGGTGGAGTGGTTGTCCTTGGGCATTAATCGGCAGAAGCAGAGAGACCAAAGAAACGGGAAGCAGAGCTGCCTCAGCCTCAAGGATAGGACCATGGCCTTTTGGGGGTGGAACTACCGCAGCCCCCCAGGTTTCAAAGAGCCAGACCTTCACCAACTTGGTTCTGGAGTGTGGGGGTGCTCGTTCATGTGAGCCAGTGGGATGGAGCCATAGCCGCTGCCCAAGAATGAGGGGGCAGGGCTGCCATGCCCAAGAGGGAGAGGAATGGGTCCCGCCAGGCCAAGGGGGTGAGGTCACCACTCAGGAACTAGGGGACTAGAGCCATCCAGTGGAGGGAGATCTGTATAGATACCACCCACTGAAGATCTGTACAGGTGCCAAGTTGACAAGGGGTGGAATTGTGGTAGTTAAGGTTGTGTGCCAACTTGGCTGGGCTTGATTGAGTGGCTGGGCAGCTGGATGTAGTTATTTCCCATGATGAGACTGGCAGTCAACTCCATGGTGGGATATACCACAGGCAGCTGAGTAGCTGCTTTAGGAATGAAGTCTGCTTCCTGTATATGAGCAGCAGCTTCAGGGACGGTCTCTAGCGTATGGCACGCTTGAACCCTGCATGTAGCTGTGTCGTTGTTCAGCAGCCTGCCATGTTCTGCTGCTTTTTGGACTTTCAATGGAGTTGAATTAATGGCCTGCCATGTGGTTTGGTAGTTACTTGTCGACCTTGTTACTTGTCCCTTGGGTTTGTCAGCCTTGTTACTTGTTGACCTTTTGTTTGTCAGCCTCAGCAGCCAGGAGCTGAGTGAAGAAAAACTTCCAGCTTCAATGGGCCAGGAACAGGAGGCAGAGCTGAAGCCCAAGGTTGAGGGGCTTTCACCCAGCCCCTAGAGCCTGGCACTTTGAACTCAGACTTAAAGGCTCCAAATTATAAGAATAAACCCCTGTTTATTAAAGCTACCCCATTTGTGGTATAGTCTTGTCAGAGTGACACCAGGTAACCAGAACAGTTGCCATGAGCAAACATCAACATGATGACTTTTTTTTTTTTTTTTTTAAATAGTGGGACCAGCTCTCTGTGCATAGCAAGCTGAGGGGGTTGGGCCTAGCCCCTGGGGTGTGCTCACTCTTCAGTTGGGGGTGGGAAGAAATGGAAGCCTTTTGACCAGGGCTCACAGACTAGAGGGGCCAGGTCAACCTTGGCCTGCAAACAGGTTTCACTTAGCAGGCAGGTATTTAAATTTTGTTCTGAAAAGCCCTTTCCTAAAGTATAATTTATGTACCATAAAACTTACCCATGGTACAAATCCAGCTGAATGATTTTTAGTAGATCTTTAGAGTTGTGCAAACATTACTGCCAATCAGTTTTATAACATATTTATCACCCCAGAAAGCTCCCTTGTGCCTATCTGCCCCACTCCCAGCAGGCAGCCACTAGTGATCTGCTTTCTGATTCCATAGATTCAGCAGGGGTTTTAAAACCTGTACTAGAGGCCCAGGCCTGGGTCTAACCCACTGCCATCGAGTAAGTTCTGACTCATAGAGACCCCTATTGGGTTTCCAAGGCTGTAAATCTTTATAGAAGCAGACTGCTTCATCTTTCTTTCACATTGCAGCTAGAGGATTTGAGCCGCCAGCCTTCTGGTCAGCAGCCAAAATGCTTTACCCACCATGCCACCAGAGCTCTTTAGGCCTGGGACTAGGGGCAGGCAAAGAGACATTTGCTTGACCAGGAGTGAGCACTAACTTAGTTGTCGCACTGGAGCTGATGTCCTTGCTTCACCCTATCGCTCCTAGCCCTGCCGAAGCCCACAGGCAGATCGCTTGCGTCCCCAGGGGCCATCCTGACTCTTTGTTCCACGCCCCCTGCAGTTTCTGGACACTGCCTGGGTTTGCTGAGGCTCCTTTCTGGGCGGCCTGCCCCTACCAGGGTCTGGCCTCATTGACAGTTTTCTCTTGACCATCTCCCCAGGCCTGTCTTTCTGGGAGACCCTCACATCCAGCTCCGGGAGGACCACCAGGTTCTCAGGATCACCAGCAGTCACCTGGGAGACGAGGGGTGGTACCAGTGCATGGCCTTCAGTCCAGCTGGCCAGCAGGCCAAGGACTTCCAGCTCACGGTACACTGTGAGTCCCACCCCCTCCCCACCCCTGCCTGGACCCCACCTCTACCATAGGCAGCTTCCAAAGCTTCCTGCTTGGCTGCCTGCTGCCTTGGGGGAAGAGTAACAGCAGAAATGGGGGCCTGGGGGAGCCCCCAAGTCCAAGGAAGCCAGGGTAGGGGGACTAGAGGGAGTTCCAGCCAAGCCCATTATTCCCCATCCCCTTGGCTCACGTTTTACTATTTCTGATACCACTTGGTATGATTATGATTGTTATTATTTTATCTTTTTCTTTAAAGCAAGTCACTTTTCTTTATACTGCAGCACATTTATTTAAAAGGGTATTCAATATTTCAACTATAAGTGGAAAACCAGGGCCACTTGGTATTCACAGAAGGGAACTAAAAGCAAGTGCAGCACCAGGGCAGTGTAGTAAACGCCGTCATGTGAGCTGCCTGCAGAGGGCGCTGAACCCATGTCTGTGCCCTCAGCTAAGGCAAGGAGAGTAGGAAGTGCTAGAAAAGTTAAGGACATAGCACAATTGGAGACCTTCCCTTTGTCATAATCAGGAGGGAAGGGGATTTGGAAAGGATGTAGCTTTTCCCTTTTGAGACTCAGTGTTATTTCAGGCCCTGTCCATATGCCTAAAGTCATCTTGAGTGCCACTAGTGTGACCTCCTCAGGGGAAGTCCCAATCTAGTCCACTCCCTCACTTTACAGATAAGGAAACTGAGCCCCAGAGAGGGGAAGTGACCTACCCTAGGTTCTACAGTTAGAGGCAGAATGGGGTCCACAGCCCAAACCTGTGTCCCCTCCACACTCCTTCCACATGTCCTGTGATGATCAACCATCACGTCAGCATGTGCCCCAAGCTGGTCCCCCTGTCAGTTCCCAGGTCCCCACTCTCCCCACCTCCCGCACCTTCCCCACCACCTTGGGATGCAGGATGATGCTTTGGGCCTCTGGCATGTGCATGTCACTCTAGGGGAGAACTCTTGCCACCTCTGGGGGCTCCCTATTACTGCCCTCCCATTGTTCTCCTCAGCACTCCCCACCATCTGGAGCTCCAGTGAGACCAGTGAGGTGGCCGTCATGGAGGGGCACCCAGTGCGGCTCCTGTGTGAAGCCCGGGGAGTCCCCGCTCCTGACATCACCTGGTTTAAGGATGGAGACCCACTCCCCAGCAGCGCCAAGGCAGTCTACACCAGGGGCGGCCGGCAGCTGCAGTTGGGGAAGGCCCAGGGCTCAGATGCTGGCGTCTACACCTGCAAGGCCAGCAATGCTGTGGGGACAGCAGAGAAGGCCAGCAGGCTGGAGGTTTATGGTGAGCAGGCCTGGGTTGTACCTGTGAGTGTTGATGGTTAGCTAGGGTGGCCAGGGGGAGAGACTCTGGGCCATGATGGCCTCTGCCCATCCCCAAAAGTCAGTGAGAGGTAGCTGCTTTGAGTGGATAATATCCAAATGGGATTAACGGAACTGTTGAGTTGTCTAGGGAGAAGGATCACCTCAGCTCATCCAACTTCCCTCATACAGTCAAGGAAACAGACCAGGAGAGGTAGGGGCTTGTCTAGGAGTCCACAGAAGAGTCTAGAATCTCAGTCTCCTCCACTCATGGTTTGGGGCTTTTTACAAAGCCATTTACAGGCTCTCATGACCACTAGGCAATCTACTTCTGTAGTGATACTGCCTTGGAAACCCAAGGAGGGGTCACTGTGAGTTGGGTCTGACTCGACGGCACATAACAACAACATGACCATTCCTAATAATTAACTGCTTTCATTAATCACTTAACATGAGCTAGACCCTTTGAAGCAACTTTACAGTGTTAGCTTTTTAATCCACCCTAACTCTGGTAGTGTAGTACCTAAGGCACTGGACTGCTAACCAGAGGGCTGGCGGTTCAAACCCACCAGTAACTCCTCGGAAGGGAGCTGGGGCAATCTACTTCCGTAGTGATACTGCCTCGGAAACCCAAGGAGGGGTCGCTATGAGCCAGGTCCGACTCCACGGCACATAACAACAACAACAATGTAGTATAAGTGAGCTCTGGTGGTGCAGTGGTTAAAAGCACTTGGCTGTTAACCAGAATGTCAGTGGTTCGAACCCACCATGGGAGAAAGATGAGCAGTCTGCTTCTGTAAAGATGTGTAGCCTTGGAAACTGTATGGGGCAGTTTTACTCTGTCCTATAGGGTCACTATAAGTCAGAATGGACTCAGTGGTTTTGGGGATGTGGTATAGGTCCCTGTGTGGTGTGAACAATTAATTTGATGGCTGCTTACTGAGAGGTTGGCAGTTTGAGTCCACCTAGAGGGGCCTCAGAAAAAAACCCTGGTGAACTACTTCCAAACAGTCAGCCATTGAAAATCCCACGGAGCCCAGCTCGACTCTGATGTGTGTGGGGTTGCCAGGGGTCAGAATCAACTCGAAGGCAACAGTTTTTATTTGATTATTGTGATACAGGGCCTGTATCATTTCTTTCCCCACTTACAGATGAGCATGGTGGGGCCCAGAGGGGGGCAGTTGCTTGCCCAGGGTCACACCACCAGGGCTGTTGGAGCTGGGCTCATACCTGAGTGGGTCTGACACCAAATGACACACTGTCAACCTCCACATTGCACTGACTAGAAGGAGTTTAGCTCTGAGGACTTGGAAGGAGAAGATACAAGGAAAGGGTATGGGTGGGAGGCATGAATGGTGTCCAAGCAGGAACCCCAGTCAAGTTTGAGAGGCCAGATACAGACAAGGAGTCAGTTCTGGAACTCTGGCCCCAAAAGCGATAAGGGCTTGGATGCTGGAACCCCAGAGAGCCTGGAGGGTAGTTGGGCCGTGGGGTCTGTGGGCAGCCTCTGAGGATGGGTTCAGGGACTCTTATTTTGGCATCTGAGGACCCCCGGGAATTGAATGAAAAATGTACCTGTGTGTGTTTTTCATCACATTTTCAAAGGGGCTTGTGACCCAGACAAAACTGAGAAGCATAGCCCTGTGCATCATTGCTTTGTGTCCCCTGGTAATGTGTATCAGGTCAGCAAGTGGGGGCCGACCAAGGGGAACCAGTCATTCCCTCCTCCACCTTGGCTATGGTGGGCCTTCACTGGCTGTGTTAGGAGCACCTGGGCTTGAGTCTGTTCCATTCATGTACTTCCTCAGACCAGCTCAGGTCCTGGACATGGGGAAACTCCACACCTTGAGTTCAGCAGATATTGAGATCTACTGTATGCAGGTACTGGAGACACACAGATAGACAAGCCATCTTACTCATGAGTTCTCAGGATCAGTAGTGGGGAATTGAAAAGAGGATGCTGGACAGATGGCAACCAGTGTCCTGGGAGTGCTGCCAGAGGGTAGAGGAGGGAGAGGCTACTTCCGACTCAGGATAGTGGGGAGAGTTTCCTGGAGGAAGAGATATCCCAACAGGGAGTTTCAGGTAGTGGAAGTGAGAGAGGGAAGCATTTCATGTGAGGTGGGGTCACTGAGGGGCTTACCCAGGCCTATTGAACTGGGTGGGTATTGGCTCTTGGGCTAAGAGCAGCTTGGTATTGGGTTCTGGTCCCTGAGCAGCCTCTATGTCACTTCCCTAGTCCCACCCACCATCGAGGGCGCTGATGGAGGACCGCACGTGGTCAAGGCAATGGCTGGGAGGCCCTTGGCACTGGAGTGTGTAGCCAGAGGCCGCCCACACCCCACACTCTCCTGGCACCACGAGGGGCTGCCTGTGGCAGAGAACAATGTGACGTGGGTGGAAGCAGGCGGCAAGCTGTGGCTGGAGAGCCTGGGGGAGGCATCCGGGGGCCTGTACAGCTGTGTGGCGGGCAGCCCTGCTGGGGAGGCTGTGGTGCAGTACTCCGTGGAAGTGCAGGGTGAGTCCCCCAGGCTCGGCCTGCTCACAGCAATCTGGGCTTATGGGTTCTTCTCCCAGCATTAATTGGACACCTACTGTGTGCTTATCCCTGGCAGCCTCCTGAGGGGATGGGTGGTAGAGAAGAGCCAATGTCCTTCCATTGTATGCAGTAGATGCTGATGCTGAGACCTGGGTTGGGGATCCCACAGGGCTAGGAGAGGGTTAGGGTTGGGCACAGAGCACGGGATCCAGGGCCCTTGCTCCTGCCCAGAAATCTGTGCTGGGTCCACCAGGTAGGATGAATGGCAGCGTTTCTGCCTTTCAGGACATGCTAGTGAAATGGCCATTCGTTGAAAGCCTACTGCAGCCCCAAACTGTTGCCCCCCCCCATAGGGTGGGTGGGGCCTTTGCCTGCCCCTCCCTTAATTGGACAGGCATTTATCAAGCATTTGTTATGAACTACCTGGTTTAATGCTAGTGATAACATGAGAACAAGGCAGATGGGACTCCTGCCTTTGAAAAGCCCTCAGTCTGGTTGGGAGATGAGCATTAAATGGGCAAGCCTAAGCCAGTAGGGGGAGGCTTAGGGGGTCCTCTTCTGGCCTTGGGGGTGGTCCTGGAAAGAGGAGCATTTATAGGGAAATTTGAAGGATGTGGTGAGGATGTGAGCCTCCCCCTGAGGTTAGTGGGGAGATGGGAGGGCTGAGGTTTGCTCAGCTCTAAACATCCCATGGTGGGTCCTGCCTGCAGTGCCCCCACAGCTCCTTGTGGCTGAAGGCCTGGGCCAGGTGACCACCATCGTGGGACAGTCCCTGGAACTTTCCTGCCAGGCCACAGGCACCCCTGTGCCCACTATCCAGTACGTAAGGGGTGGGGAGGCCCAGGCTAGAGGTGAGGGCAGAGATTGTATGCTTGGGGGCAGGTGGGGGAGGGAGTACTCCTCTTCCCAGGAATATGAAGAAGGCAGGTGGGGACCCTGTGAGACTGCCTACTTGCCCTGCCTGGCCCTGCTCCCCCAGTCTCAGGCTGACCCTCCCCTTCCCCACCACCTCAGATGGCTGCAGAATGGTCGCCCCACTGAGGAGCTGGCCGGGGTACAGGTGTCCTCGCAGGGGGCCACGCTGCACATCAACCATGTGGAGCTGGGCCACGCGGGCCTCTTTGCCTGCCAGGCCACCAATGAGGCAGGCACTGCTGGGGCTGAGGTGGAAGTATTTGTGCACGGTGAGCAAGCATCTTGGGTTCTGGGGCCATGGGCTGGCCGAGATGCTAGGGGTGGGCAGGGCCAGAGGGCTGCACCATTGATGCCCTTGGCAGGCCTGGGAAGGGCATGGGGCCTGTCTTCTGTGGACAATGTTTCTTGGCTGGACTTCCCAGTTCTCCAAAGAGAGGAAGGGGTGAGAGACAGGTCTCAGCCACTTATCACACTTGTCCTCTGTCTTGAGCAGCCCACAGGCCCTATACTCTCTCCAGCCTCCCTTCTCACCACTCTATCTCTTTGTGTTGACCACGCAGAACCTCCTTTGTTTCCTCGAACACGTCAGCTCTCCTGCTCACCTCTGAATCTTGTGTATGCTGTTTCCTCTGCCTGGAACATTGTCCCTCCACCTTTGTCTGCCTAACTCCTCAATGCTAAAGCACCCCTTTCTCCAGGAAGCATTCCTCAGTTTCACCATGTTGACTCTGCACTGCCCAATCTCTCATGGCCATAGCCTGCTGTAGTGGGATTACTTGTTTAACTGTCCATCTTGGCTGCCCAGTTCTGTGAGCTCTGAGAGGGCAACCCAGTAGCCACTGTTCTCTGCTGTGTCCCTGTGCCTCGTGCAGATACAGGTTCTATGTACATGTGAATAAATGGATGGGTGGATGGATAGTTGGTTGAGAGAATGTCCAAAGTACTGGCTCCCAGTCTGGAGCTCTTTTCCCTAAGCTAGGTGTCTGAGGGATTGGGGGTTGTGGTGGTGGTGAGGCTAGAGGTCAACCCTTGGCCAACCCTGAAATGCCACTCCCTTATCCACCTGGGCACTGGGGGAGTTACTGGGTGCCCATTGCATATCTCCTGACCCTGGCCTGGAACCTCCCCATCTCTCCTCTGGCCAGAGCTCCCATCGGTTGACATCATTGGGGGTGAGAACATCACAACCCCTTTCCTGCAGCCTGTGACCCTTCAGTGTGTAGGAACTGGGGTGCCTGTCCCAAGTCTCCGCTGGTGGAAGGATGGGGTGGCCCTGACAGCCTTGGGGGGCAATCTGCAGGTATGTGCAGGGGCTCTAGGGCTGGTGGGGCAGCTGGACACTGGTGGATCAGCCACTTCTGTTGGACCCTGGAGACCCCCAGGGGAGTCCTGGCAGCTTAGGGGTAGGATAAGCACAGTCCTCACTTACCTGGGGGAGTCAATCAATAGATCCTGGGGATGGTGGACCTAAAGAAGGGAGGAGCCTTTGGACTATTCCAGGTCCCAGGAGCTGGCAGCTACAGAAGGGAGATAGTGGGGCAAGGGTGCATGCCCAAGGGTCAGCAGAATCCCCTAGAATCCCAAGTACTCGGCTTATAACTCTACCCCTAGAACTGAACTGAACTTCCAGAGGTCAGCAGCAGCCTGGCCAATGGCCATGTTCCATTTGGTTCCCTGTACTCACATCCCATAGTGCACACTCTCTTTCCTCCTTCCCCTCTAGATTGAGAAGGTAGACCTGAAGGATGAAGGCATCTACACTTGTGCTGCCACTAACCTGGCTGGGGAGAGCAAGAGGGACTTGGCACTAAAGGTCTTGGGTGAGGACATGGACCCAGGGCCCTCGATGATGGATGATCCCTTGAGGGCTGGGGTGGGTGGACTGTAGAGTGGGGGTTAAATCATGGGCATACACTTAACAATAGCGTGAGCTATTACTCTGTGGCCCCTTTCAGTTGTTTTCTGTGGGATTCCTAGTTGTAGTCCCTGCCCACATTCATATGTGCCTTGGCTCTTTTAATGTGTTTTTGGTTCACTTGGATTCTTGTACAAGCAGGTAAGCCCCTTCACTTCTCACTTTTCACGGCTGAGTAGGATTCCTACTCCTCTACTGTGCACGTTGGCTATTCCTGGGGCCTGGGCATGAAGGTTGTTCCTGGTGTGTGATTGTAATGGAGGTTGTGGGCCAGTTGCTTTTTGTCCTTGGACTTGGTTCCAGAAGTGTTCTTTCTCCATCAGCTCAGCCATCTGGAGCCAGTTTAGAGCCCTAGGTGCTCAGGACTCTTTGGAAGATGGAGAAGGGCATTGGGAATGTCTGAGATTTGAGCTTCTCCCAAAGTGTCTTCTTTCCCCTCCACTAGTGCCTCCCAACATCGAGCCAGGTCCAGTCAACAAGGCAGTGCTGGAGAATGCCTCAGTGACCCTGGAGTGTCTGGCTTCAGGTGTGCCCCCTCCAGGTAAAACCCCTTCTCTTGGCTGAAAACCTCCTCCAGTTGGCCCTAATTCCCCATCTATTGAAACCAGCAAGTTCCCCAGGCATCACTCTGGCTGTAGACATAACCAGGAGACATCAGCAGGCCCTCTTCCCTATTTCTTCTGGTTCCCCCTCTTCCTTCTCTACAGCTGTGTATCCAAGCCCAATATGTGCAGGTTACTACCCAGGCCCAGAGCCTTTGCACTAGTGTCTGAAGCCTGCAGTGCTTCACTCAGAGTTTGCAACTTCACAGGATGCCACAGGGCTGAGCGCAGAGGACCACGGCCTCTGAGTCACCATCTGGCTGGCCTCTTCTCTGGACCAGCAATTGAGGGAGGAGCAGGGAGCATGGGGTTAGGTGTGGGTGCTCATATAGGATGGCATTGAGCTTGTCAGGAGGAGGACACATCTGCTGTACCCCATCTGAACCAGATCTACCCTGCTTTGCTTGGAGTAGGTGAGCCATGGGGAGTCTTTGCTCTTCCCATGGGGAACCCTATTGGGTTCTGGGATGGGCCATTGGCAAAAGGTGAGGGAGCTGAAGATACAAGAGGCCTATTCTTACTTGGGAGGTTGTTATTTTGGAGTGGACTGTGGTCTCCCCCAAAACTCTCCCTGGTGAAATGATCTCCTGGCAGAGGGAGGAGACAAGGGGGGCCAGGCTGGGTTTGACTCTCCTAACTCCGGGCTGCCCCATCCTCCATCCTGTGGGCCTTCCTCTCTGCCTTGTTCCTATCTCAGGCCGCCCTGTGCTGCTCCACACTCTGCCCCTCTCCCTGGAGAACTCTGGCTTTCTTCAGTGCTTGGAATAAAAGCACATCAGGTGGCCACCCTAGAAGGCTTTTCTGAATGCCTGCAGCACTGGCCGAATCTGAAAGGCTGGCAGGACCCCTGGCATTTTTCTGTCCTTTTTTCCCCCAGATATCTCCTGGTTCAAAGGTCACCAGCCTGTCTCTGCCCGGGCAGGAGTGACACTATCTGCTGATGGGAAAGTTCTCCACATCCAGCGAGCCCAGCTTTCCGATGCTGGGAGCTATCGCTGCGTGGCATCCAATGTGGTGGGCAGCACGGAGCTGCAGTATGGCTTGCGTGTCAATGGTGAGCTGCCTTGAGATTAGAGAGATTCTTGTTTAAAAAGTTGTCTTTCCACCCATTTGTTTGATCATCAGTCCCTCTCTCCATCCATCCATCCTTCTAATTGTCCATTCATTGATCCTACCATTCATCAATCCAACTCCCCAATCACTCATCTATTATCTGTTCACTTATCCCTCCATCCATTTGACCATCCATTCATCCATCTATCCATCTTCTGTCCAACCACATTTATTAAGTACATGCTCTAGGGCAGACCCAAGGGCTAAAGCCCTGAACAAGACAGACCCAGCAGCTTTCAGTCTAGTGGAGGATACAGTAATTAGATACTATCACCCAAATCATTGTTTCATGACAGTTGTGATAAGAGGTAGAAGGGTGAGGTTCAGGCTGCTCTGAGGGCCTGCAACCAGGGAGGACTGGCCTGGTGAGGCTGGAAGGCATCTTTGAGACCAAGATGCTTAACCTGAGACTTGTTGGAAAGGTCTGACCCTGGAGAAACCTGTGAAATTTGAGGGACAGAAAGGAGGCTTGGGAGCCTGAAGTTTATAAAACATGGAGAGGAGGGGCCAGAGCAGTGCTGGTGGCCAATGGAGGCTAGACTTGAGGGCCTCGTAGGCCATAGGGAGAGATTGGATCTCTATCCTAAGAGCAGGGGCTGACTGGGCAGGTGACTGGAACCTTGGACACCATGGCTTGTGCCTCTCAGATATAATCGAATCTTCTGACTGCTTCCTGCTGAAGAGGGGCTGATATCTCTGAGATGGGAAACAAAACCCATCCAGGAACTCTCAGCCCCTTGTTATCTCACCCTACCCCACAATAAATGACCTCATGTTAACCAGAAGGCCCAGGTTCAAGTACCACTTCTGCTATGGCCTAGTTAGTTGACCTTAGGCAGGTGACGCCCCGTCTGGAGCCTCAGTTTCTGTCTATAGAAACCTCGTGGCATTGTCTGGAACCAAGGAATGGTGTGCCCATGTTCTGAGCAGTTGTCCTGTGCTTTTGTTTGTGCCCTCACTTCTGTGGAGGTACTTGGACAGGGGCAGGGCTGCTCCTTCAAAGGGAGCCCAGCTGGCACCACCTACTTCACCACAGCTCAGAGCGTGGCTCTGTATGGTCCCCACCCCGCAGTACCTCCGCACATCACGCTGCCACCCAGCCTGCCAGGCCCCGTGCTGCTAAACACCCCTGTTCGGCTGACCTGTAATGCCACTGGATCCCCCAGCCCCACACTGATGTGGTTGAAGGACGGAAACCCGGTGTCTGCTGCAGGGACGCCCGGCCTCCAGGTCAGTAGGGCTGAAGGTCCTGGCTCACCTCCTTGGTGCCTCCACAGATGCCAGAAGCAAGGTCAGGCCATGGGAGCTTGCAAGTGAGGGACAGGCAACAGCCCAGAGGCGTTGGCTGGAGGGAGGAAGGAGGGGCTACTTGCGAGGCACAGAGACGTCTAGAGTTACACCTTCCAATAGAAATAATGCTCACCATAAGCACTCGCCATATGTGTAGTTTAGAGTCTTCTAGTAGCCTCAGAAGAAAGATCTTGTGGTCTGCTTCCATAAAGATTACAGCCAAGAAAACCCTCTGGGGCAGTTCTACTCTGTCACTTAGGGTTGCTATGAGTCAGATTGACTCAACAGCACCCAACAACAATGGTAGCCATATTAAGGAGCCATCGTAGTGCAAACAGATAAGCTGTCAGCTGCTAACCAAAGGGTTGGTGGTTCGAACCTACATGGCAGCTCTGTGCTTCTGTAAAGATTACATCCCAGAAAACTATGGGGCAGTTGTGCTCTGTTACACAGGGCCACTGAGTCAGAATGCAATGGACAACACCTAACAACAGTAGGTAAAGAGAATAGGTGGAGCCATTTTAATAATATATTTTATTTAATCCATTGTATCCAAAATACCATTTCATCCCGTGAACAACGTGAAAAAGTATAGATGAGATGTTTCACATTCTTCTTTTTGTATTAATTCTGAAACTGGTTGTGTATTTTACACATGTGGCTCATTTCAAATTTGGACTGGCCAGATCTCACTATCCATGCATGGTGGCTGTGGTGGCTGCCATAGTGGACAGGGTGACTCTAGAGGACCCTTGAAGGCTGGTGTAAGTGGGCTGCCAGCTGGCAGACGTTATATCTGGGAATGGGGTATAAGGTCACGAATTCCTTATATTCTGGGGGTCTCTGGGGATCTTGAGCTGGCTACCCAGGCATGCCTGTCAGCAGGGCCAGCTTGTGGGTGTGTGGTTCCTGCCCCTTGACGTGTTTGACAGTGGACATGCAGCCTACTGTGGTCGTTCTTCTGCGATACAGGTCTTCCCTGGTGGCCGGGTCCTCACCTTGGCCAGTGCCCGGGCCTCTGACTCCGGCAGCTACTCCTGCGTGGCTGTGAGTGTGGTGGGCGAAGACCGCCGGGACATCGCCCTGCAAGTCCACAGTGAGTCTGGGACCCAGGAGGCCTGCGTGCTGGAAAGGTGGGACTGGGGACATGTCCAGTACATCCAGAAGGAGAGAGGGTGGCAGGCCACAAAGAGCCTCACTATTTGTGGTGGCCTGACACTGGCTGCTTTCATGTGGCAGAGACCTGTGCAGGATTCCGCTTCTCCCTGTGTGTGAACTCCCCCATGGTGAGCAGGTGGGTGGTAGATAGCACAGCCCTTCATGGCCAGGAGCTCTGTGTTGGTTGAAAAAGTGGATGGAGCACAAAATATCAGGAGAAGCACCAGGCCAAGAGCCAGAAGACCCAGAGTCCCAACCGGGAAGGTCCAGTGAGGAAAGTCCATTCTGGAAAGGCAGTGTGGCTTGGTGGTTAGGAACAGACTCTTAAGTGTGGTGAACCAGGGCCTCTAACCCTGCCTTCTTCACTTACTAGCTCCATGACCTTAGACTGGTCACTTTGCTTCTCTGGGCCTTAGTTCCCTCATCAATAAAATGGGGCAAAGAATAGCACCCACCTCACGGGTTGCCATGGAGATATACTAAGCCCATTAGAACCACCTTTGCAGTTGCTATTGTTTTTTAATTCCCCGCTATGGGCTTTGGTGGGAATCTATTGAGGTCTGGAAAGGACTCTGGGAAATGCAGAGCCTTGGGGAGGAGGTGTGGGAAGTGTAGATCCAGCTTTGTTCCTTGGCTGGAATGATGATAATGGTGACAGGTACTGTGTACACGTGGTCCGTCATCGCTTTTAATCCTTACAGCAGCCCCATGGGGTGGGTGCTTTCTTTATCCTCATCTCACAGATGAGAAAACAAGGGCTCAGAGGCTGAGAAACATCTTCAGGGCTTCACCCAGCAAGTGAGCTGTAGAACACAGGAGTCCAACCCAAGAGCTCAGACTCCTAACCCCGCGTTCTTAACCACTAGGCTGCAGAGGTTATTTTGATCTTAAGGGGAAAGACGACTCTGGGGCCTGCTTTTTTTTTTTTTTTTTTTTTTTTTTTAATTATCATTGTTTATTAAGTTTTTATTTTGGGATAATTACAGATTCATAAGGAAGCTTGGTGGCACTGTGGTTAAAGCACTAGGCTGCTAACCAAAAGGTCAGAGGTTCAAACCTACTAGCCACTCCATGGGAGAAAGATGTGGCAGTCTGCTTCTGTAAAGATTTACAGCCTTGGAAACCCTATGGGGGCAGTTCTACTCCATTCTATAGGGTTCCTGTGAATCAGAATTGAACATGGTAGTGTCATATATAATTATGAGAAAGAATACAAAGAGATCCTGGGTACCTTTTACATCTTGCAGAATTGTAGCACAATATCACATCCAGGATGTTGACATTATTGCCATCCACCAATTTTATTCAGATTTGAGATCCTTTTAAAGAAGGTCTGTGAAGGGAGTTGAGAGGTAGAGATATGGGAGGTTGGGGGGCAAGAGAGTTACAACTCAGGGAATAAACCCCAGTCTTGAAAATGACTCTCCTGGCTGCTGAAAGTAGCCTCAAAGAGGCCAGGCCTGACCCAGGTCACAGCCCCTGTCCTACCTGCCCCATCCCTTCCTTCTTGAGGGAGCTCATCTTCTGCTCTCCCCCACCCCCACAGTGCCCCCTAGCATCCTGGGAGAAGAGCTGAACGTGTCAGTTGTGGTCAATGAGTCAGTGGCCCTGGAGTGCTGGAGCCATGCCATGCCCCTTCCTGTGCTGAGCTGGTGGAAGGATGGGCGCCCCCTCCAGCCACGGCCTGGGGTCCACCTATCTGCAGACAAGGCCTTCCTGGAGGTATGTGGCCTCTCCCAGAATCGGAGCTTCCCCTGGGGCAGGGGCAAGGTTTGTGGGTGGGGTCAGCATAGCACCACCACTGAAGCTGGGACCTCAGCCCTGGGTCCACCAAGTCCCTACAAGTACCAGGTCAACCAGACGTGACCCAGAATCCCCTCCAGTCCCAACAGCCCTGTCCAAGCTGCCTCTAAGGTGGGTGAGGACAGAGAGCAAAGCACTAGGAGTGAGCCTCAGTGCCTCCCTCATGGCGCCCCCATGAGCTGAGTGCCTTCTGACCCCTCCTTCTATACCCCGTATTCAGAAACCCCATCTGGCTCCTCCTGGCCTTAGGCCAAGTCCAAACTCCTTAGCTAGGCACTTTAGTCCCTTGGTCATCTAGTCCAGCAGGGCAGGGGTTGACAGGGGAATAGGGTTCCAAGTCAATTAGGAGTTGAGTTTTAGCCTTGCCTCCTCCCGACCGTGCCACTTTAGGCAATGACCTGACTTCAAGGGCCTCGGTTCCCACGGTTGTAAACACATTGGTGCCTGTTGCCAGAGGAGGCTGTGAGCAGGTTAAGGGCAAGAGGGTGTCTGACCTAGCCGGGGATGTCCCTCTACCCCAGCAGAGCTGGGCTACACAGAGCAGGTGGTTAGTGCTGTACATGTAAAGTGGAGTGAGGCTGCAAGGCTGCCATCCACAGAGCCCATTCTGTGTGCCTGGCCCATCTCAAGCCCACCGCAGGCATCACCTTCTGGAACCTTCATGGTACAGGAGGTATGGGAGGTAAGATCACTTCCCTGTGTTCTAGTAAGGCACAGTGACATGTCTCAGTCTGTCCAAGGGGCAGCCCCATCTCTTTTTCCTCTCTGCCAGGTGGACCGAGTGGAGGTGTGGGATGCAGGCCGCTACACCTGTGAGGCACTGAACCAGGCAGGCCGCTCAGAGAAACACTACAACCTGAATGTCTGGGGTGAGGGTCTCCTGGGCTGGGTTGGGGTTCCCTCTCCCTGACTCTTTGGTCCCCCCCCCCGCTATAGTTGGTGTGCCTTGGCTGAGCCCCTGCTCCCCCATTTTTTCCCCATTCCGGCTCACCACTTGTCTTCTCTGCTTCAGTCCCTCCAGTGTTCCCCTTGGGGAAGCCCCAGACCCTGACTGTGATCGAGGGGCATCCTGCCAGGCTGTCCTGCGAGTGCCGGGGGGTCCCCTTCCCCAAGATCTCCTGGAAGAAGGACGGTAGGATCGATGCTGTCATCCAGCCCCACCTCACTGCCCAGCACAAGGAGGCTACCCTCACCCTCTTGTGTTTGCTCCTGGCTGCTGAAAGTAGCCTCAGAGAGGGCCAGGCCCACCTCCCAGCCCCTCAAGCCTCACTGAGATGGGTGGGCTTACTGACCTGAGGGGTAGGGTGACACTTCTATCAGCTTCCCTCTGCTCTGTTTCTAGGACTGCAGTATGACCTTCCTTGGTCCTTTCTAGCCAGCCTGATCCTCAAGCCTCACTTCTGATGTCTCTTCTTCCAGGAAGCCTTCCTTGACCCCCACCCCCAGGTTGAGGCAGGGCTTCCTTAATGCAGCCCCTTTGTGCTAACTTGTTACATTACTCACCTTAGTCCTTCCATTTGCCCATGAGGCACTCTCTAGGCCACCACTGAATTATCTGTGCCTGATACAAGATAGGTGTTCAATCAGTACTTGGAATTTATCCATTTAGCCAGTATTTATTGAGACCCTCTCTGCAGGACCCTGTTCTAGGCACTGGGAATATAGCAGTGGACAAACACAGATGAATCCCTGCCCTTAGAGTGGGGCAAGCCAGATAATAAACAAAAAGTTAGCAAATGACTTGGCACCTTAGGTGATAAGTGCTCAGAGAAAAATAAAGCCAGGAAGGGAGAGATGTGCTGGAGGGTAGGGCTTGTTGTCTTAAGTGGAGGTGGCCAGGATTGCTTGATGGTGAGAGATGAGCATAAGAGTATCTCAAGGAGAAAAGTGTTCCAGGCAGTGGTAACAGCAGGTACACAGGCCCTGGGGCTGGTGGAAGCCGAGTGTTTCTGAAGAACAAAAAGAGGCCAGTGGGGCTGGAGCAGAGTCAGTGAAGGAGAGGGAAGCAGAAGATGGTCACCAGAGTGAGGGTGTTGGCCTCAGACTCTCAGGGCCTCTGCAGGGCTCTGGACAGAGGGACACTATCGGATGTACATTCTAACAGGATCACCCTGCTGGCTGGGTTACGACTAGACCTTTAGGAGCAAGAGTGGAAGCAGGGCAGCCAGTCAGGAGGCAAGAAATGCTGGCAGCCTGGACTAAGTGGTGGCCATGATGTGGCGAGAGAGGGCTGGAGTCTGGAGGTGTTTGGACAGGAGTGTTGCCAGGATTTCCAGGCAGGCTGAATGGGAAATGAGAGAAACGGAGAAGTCAGGGATGGCTCCCAGCTATTTGGTCTGACAGCAGGGGAGTCTGCAGGAACAGGTGTAGGGAAAGGTATGTAAATTTTGAGACGCCTGATAGACATCCAGTGAGATGTCAAGTCAGCAGGTGGATGTAGGTATCTGGAGCTCAAGGGAGCAGCCTGCACTGAGAGTAAATCTAGGAGCAATGAGACAGGATAAGGTCTCCAGGGCAAAACCGTGGATCAAGAAGAGAAAGCCCTGGGACTGCCAGTGTTGGAGGAAGGAATTGTCACATGACTACTGGGTCCCCTCGCCCTGCTGGGATGTGCTTTGATGAATGTCTGGAACCCAGAGCATGGTCCCATATACTGGTGCAGGATGATAATAATTACTATTTGATCCAGTGCTTCAGAGTTCACAAAGTCCTTCCTCCACATTGGAATCTTGTAGCCAAGTGTACTAGCCACTTGGGATTCCTCTCCCCAGGTCACTTTTGCAAGATGAATGGGTCATTCGTTCAGTAGCCTTCTCTGAGCCCTTCTGGGTGCCAGCCCCTGAGAGCCTCTGAGTACCCCAGGGAGAAAGTAAAGCAGAGTCTGCCTTCTTGGAGGGCCCAGGCCAGGCAGATTTAGATGAGACACCTGCAGGCAGCTCTATGATGGGGAGAAGCTCAGGGGTTGTGGGAGTTCAGAGGGAGAGCAGGACCAGATTTAGCATTCAGAGAAGGCTTCCTGGAGGAGGTGATATCTACATGGATACCTGAAGGATGAGTAGGAGTTGGCAAATATAAGAAGCCAAGGGTTCCAGGTGGAAGGACCTCATGTCCCCATAAATGCCTTGGACCAGTGGCTTCTTTTCCATTGCATCCAGGTCAGCCTTTGCCTGAGGATGGGGCCAGCCTTGAGCAGGTATCGGCTGTGGGGAGGCTGCTCTACCTGGGGCAGGCCCAGCCCAGCCAGGAGGGCACCTACACCTGTGAGTGCAGCAACGTGGCAGGGAACAGCAGCCAGGACCAGGAGCTGGAGGTACACGGTGAGCCAGGCCAGTTGGTAGAGGGGCCAGAAGGGCAGAGAGGGGCCACTCAGCAGCACAGACCACCCACTCACACACAGATCCCAAGCAAAGACAGGAACAGCGAGGATGAGGATGCTTCCATGTTCTCTCTGAGATGATTGGCATCTTATTAACTGCCCTTCCCTGTCAGTTATCTTATAGCTCCTAACCTAAACATGGGAGAGTGGGCAACATGATCCCTAAATATAAGTACCCCCCAGTGACCCAGAGAAAACAACACATCTGGAAAGAATTGAAACAAGAAACTGTCAGACTTTTGTGACACTCCCACACACATCAGAAACCCAAGTTTCCTATTTGTTCAGCTGCTGTGGCTCTCTTTCTGCTGGACTGCAGGTGGGGGTGGATGGGAGCATTTGGGGGAGGAGTGGGCACTGTTATGACCCATTATAGAGATGGAAAATAGAGGCACAGAGAGGTGAGGTCACTGCCCAAGGTCAAAGAGCCAGTGGGTGGCAGGATGAGGACACAGCCTAAGTGGGGGCATGTCCATCAAATGGTCAGCCTGGAGCAGCTTTTGCTGATGTGCTCTTTCCCAACCCCAGTTCCCCCTCAGATCGCTGGCCCCTGGGAGCCCAACACACAGGTCTCTGTGGTCCAGGACAGGGAGACCACTCTGGAATGCAATGCCACAGGGAAACCCCCACCAACGGTGACATGGGAGCGGGACGACCAGCTGGTCGGGGACAAGCCTGGCCTGGAGCTGCAAAACCAGGGTCAGAGCCTGCATGTGGTACAGGCACAGGCTGCCCACGCCGGACGCTACAGCTGCGTGGCTGAGAACGTGGCTGGGAGGGCTGAGAGGAGGTTTACGCTCTCCGTGCTAGGTGAGGACTGGCTGCCTACCAGAAGGGCAGGAAGGGACTGGGCTGGAGAACAAGGCTGGTTCAGCCTCCAGACACAGACCTCAGCTCTGCTTCTGGCCTTAACCTTGATCTTCTGGACTCGGGTCTCTGATGAGGGCTGGTGCTAGGGGCAGCCACCAACACTGCTCTCAAAGACAGGGACTGGCCGGATAGCCCTGATTTCTTTCAATCAATCCTCCTTCTCTCCCTCCCTTTCTCTCTCCTTTATTTGCTGTTCCCCTTCCCTGTTCTGGGCACTGGGGAAATATGCAATCTTTATCCTGTGTGAAAGAGTTGCTGGGTGGTGCAGATGGAAGCACTCAACTCCCAACTGAAAGGTTGACAGTTCAAGTCCACCCAGTGGTGATTTGGGAGAAAGCCTTGGCCATTTGCTTCTGGGGAAAAAAATCAGCCATTGGAAACCCTGTGGGGCACAGTTCTACTCTGACACACATGGGGTCACTATGAGTCTGTTTCTGGGAGAAATCCTGCATGGCTGGCATGTGATGGGGGAGCTGAGGGGCCTGGGAGAGACCAGAAAGCCCTGAACTGTTGTGGAAGTCAGGACAGCTTCCTGGAGGAGGTGACTTTTAAGCTGAAACCTAAAAGCTGAGTAGGATTTAGCTGGCTGCAGGGGAGGGGATGAGTGACCCTCCATTCAGTGACAGCTCATTTTGGGTGACTGGGACAGCTTTGTTCATTCCAATTGTGTTTTGAGCTCCTACTGTATGCCTGCAGTATATAATTCAGGGTAGAGGCAGGAGTGGTAAGCGAAAGGAGAGGTGGACAGGGGTGGGTTTACAGAAGGCCCTGGCTCATCACACCCCCCGATATGAGATCATGAGTATTGCCTGCCAAGTGTGGGTTCCTTTACAAATGGGTCCTTTGAAACCTGCAGAGCCACTCTCTAGCTCCTGTGTGTGGATTTAGGGTGGGCGTCTGTGCTCACCTTCGCTTTAGTGTCATTCTCATTTGCTAGGCACTGTGCTAAGCACTTTACAAGTGGTGTTCAATTCTCTCCACATCCCTCTGATGGGTTGGGGAAACTGAGGCTAAAGTCTGACTCCAAAGCTCAACTTGTGCCCTTCAAGGTGTCACAGCTTCAGTGGGAGTAGCTCTGATCCTGTCCCTTCTGCTCTTCAGACTCTCCTGATGTGGGAGATGGGGGTCTTTGAGGAGAACAGTCAATGGGGAGGGGCAGGTAGGAGTATCCAGTCCCTACTATGCCTCCTGAACACAGCTGCTTCTCTGTGACTAGTGCCTCCAGAAATCATTGGCAACTCAGACCCGCTGACCAATGTCACCACCACCTTGCACAATCCCTTGACACTGCTTTGTGAAGCCACAGGCCTCCCACCCCCAGAGGTCCACTGGTTCCGAGGGGAGGAACCCATCAGCCCTGGGGAGGATACCTATCTCTTGGCAGGTAAGTGCCAGCCAAAGATCTTCCCTCTGCCTCTGCCCATTACATGTCCATGACTTTTGACCCTGAGCTGCTAGACCTGTTTGGGGTTACCATTCCAGCCACTGATCCCTAACTAGTGTACCTTGAAAATGTTTGTCTGGTGAGGTGCTCTAGGAAAAAAAATAGCTTTTGGATTTAAATAAGTTTGGAAAATCCTTCCCACTCTACACTTCTCCTAGAGATCCATGGTGTACATGTTTACAGTAGAGGTTTTGATTAGTCCTGTAGGAAAAAAAAAAAAAAAAAAACTGTGTGGCCCTTACAACATGTCACAGAACAGTAACAAACTTTTGGAAATGCAGATCTAAGTACCTTCCCCATTGAATATTCATTCTTCTCACAAAGTTGTTTGGGATAGTTCTTCTGAGTATACAAATGGGGAGACTGAGGCCCAAGAAGCAGTGTGCCATTCAAATCTCGCAGAGGCTTCAGAGGTCCATGAAGGCTCCCCCTCAGTGACCCATCACTTGTTCCACCCAGCTCATGCTGGAATGGCAAATGTATTTCTCCTTGCACACCACTTCTGAGCACGTCCCACAGATAAGAATTCAGAGGCTGCATCTAGACCTGATGGAAAGGAGAGCAGTGGTCACCTAGTGACACCTGGGCACAGGAATAGCAATGATGGCATGTGTACTATGCATCTGCCCTCCAGGGCCGACCTTAGGAGACCCTTGGGCTCCTCTGAGGAGCTGGCTCACCTCTGAGGAGTTCTTGGGAGAAGGCCTGTTACTGTGTCCATCAAAGGAGAGTGGGGGGTTAGACTTGGGTCAGGACCCCATAGTCCATTGCCATCCTTTCAGCCCCAGCCATTCATCAGAAGCAGAAGTGACCAGAGTGACAGACTAGTGCTAGAAAGGAGTCCTCAGGTGTACCCTGGTGGGAGTCTGCTGTCCAGGTGTCTCCATGTATTTATCCTCCTTGAGCCTCAGTCCCGTCTAAAGAGTGAAACCCTCAGGGAGACAGACATGTACACACCTAAGTATAGCACCTGGTGCTCACCCCTTGTTGGGCTCGGCTTGGGACGGAAGACTGCTCACAGCCGGCCTTGGGCCCCACTCCCCTCCTTCTACAGGTGGCTGGATGCTGAAGATGACTCAGGTGCAGGAGGAGGACAGAGGACTCTACTCATGCCTGGCAAGCAACAAGGCTGGGGAGGTGCAGAGGAACTTCAGCGTCGAGGTCCTGGGTATGTTGCTGCCCCATTCGCCTGGGCGCTCATCTATCCTTCCTTTCCAGCTTAAAAGCTTCTAGGGGCAGGAGCCAGATCTAACCGCTCATGCTTTATCAGGGGGCCCACCACAGGGAAAGAGGGAGAGGCCAAGTCTTGTTTACTTTGTTTCATCAGAAACCTCTATGCTGAGGCTGCCATGGAACTTTTCCAGAAAAGCAGGGACTGACCTATAATAGAAGGGAGCACATATTTTCACCGCAACCAAAACTGCTTTCCTGTGCTCTGGGCTTTCCTCAGAGGCACTGGTTCTTCCCCTCAGCCAGCAGCAAATATTTATTAAACTCACTGCCATGAGTGAGCATAAGGGAATGGGGAAACTGAGGCACAATAGGAGAGTTGTGGGTTCTTGACTTCTTGCTCCACAGATTTCAGCCTGAGTGACCAACCCTAGTCACTAACCCTCTGTCTCCCTGCTTCTCCCAGTTCCTCCCAGTATCGAGAAGGAGGACCTGGAGGAGGTGATCAAGGTTCCCAAGGGACAGACTGCCCACCTGACATGTAACACCACAGGTAAGGGCCATATTTACATGGAGGGTTGGAAGAGGAGTGAGGAAGTAGCTTTGGAAAGGAAGGGGGCCCTAGGGTTCTGGCCTGTCTGCCCCCAGCCCCAGTTTGGTCTACATTTTGGATTCAGCTCTGTGTCCCTGCTCATCTCTGCACTTGCTGTCCCATCTACCCTAAACACTCTTCCCTACTCCTCACTTGACTACAGATCTCAGCATCCAGAACCTTCCCCCAGGAGCCCTTGGCTCCCACAACCCCCAGTGCTTTCTTGTCCCAGCACGAAGGTCTTGTGACATCTGTATTCCCAAGCCAGGCTCTGAGCTTCTTGAGGACTGACGGGCTACCTGGTCACCATGGTTTCCTGGTACCTGGTTACTGTTGTTGTTAGTTGTCAGCAAGTCAATTCCAACTCATGGTGATCCCACATGTACAGAAGAGAATTGCTTCACAGAATTTTCAAGGCTATGACCTTTGGAAGCAAATCTCCAGCCTGTCTCCCAAGGTGCCTGAGGGAACCACCAACATTTTTCGGCTTGTAGTTGAACACTTAACCATTTGCAAAACCCAGGGACGATTCCTAGCAGAGTACTCACTCCATGGCGTTGATTCCAACTCATAGCAAACCCTGTAGGACAGAGTAGAACTGCTCCTTAGGGGTTTCTAAGTCTATAAATCTTTTTTTTAATTTAATTTTTATTGTGATTTGGGTATAAGTTTACAGAGCAAATTCATTTCCCATACAGCAGCTCACATGCACTTTGTCTCATGACATTGACTACAATTTCCCACAATGCAACAGCTCTCTTCCCACTTCCTCCCCATAGTTACCTCTTCCCTGTGTCCTTCCTCCCATGCATTCCTTCCCCCCAAGCGGTCTGTCTCCCTGTACATATATACTGCCCTTCTATTCTCCCGTGATTGTTCTCTCCAAGGAGTGTATCTACCTAATGTACATGTTCAGCTCATATGCCTGTCTTTTGTTTGGCTGGAAGCCACAGGAGTGGGTTTAATTCCAGACCTGAAGGGCAGCTAGTGGCCATAGTCTCAGGGGTTTCACCAGGCTCTATCAGACCAGCAAACCTGGTCTATTTCTTTTTGTTTTTTTAAATAATTTTGAGTTTTGTTCCACATTGTTCTCCCACTCTATCCAGAATCTCCTCCATAGATCCCCCTCCAAGTGGTTGACAGTGGTAGCCAGGCACCATCTAGTTCTTCTGGTCTCATAGTCATATAGGCTAAGGATCACATGGTGTACTAGTCCCTTGGACTAAATGTTTCCACGTGTCTTTGATTTTCTTCATTCTTCTTTGCTGTGGACAAGGAGGGACCCATCATGGCATCTAGATGGCTGCTTACAAGCTTTTTTTTTTAAATGCATTTTATTGAAATATAATTTATATACAGTGAAATACACAAAACTAAAGTGACATGGATAAATGTTTCTTTTCTTTTTTTTTTTTTTTTTCTGCAGTGTTCCCTCCCCTCCCTTCCTACCTCCGGTAACCAACAAAGAAAGTTTCCTTCCATATATAAACCTTTCCTTGACTTTTCACAGTTATGAACTAATACTGTATTTGTCCTTCTGTGATTGACTTATTTCACTCAGCATAATGTCCTCCAAGTTCATCCATGGTATGCAGTGTTTTACCGATTCTACATTACTCTTCAATGTTGCATAGTATTCCATTGTGTACGTATACCATAGTTTGGTTATCCATTCTTCTGTTGATTTGCACGTAGGCTGTTTCCATATTTTTGCTATTGTAACTAATGCTGCAGTGAACATGGGTGCGCATATATCTGTTCGTGTCCTGGCTCTCACTTCTTCCGGATATATACCTAGTAATGGGATTGCTGGGTCAAATGGTATTTCTAATTCAAGTTTTTTAAGGAATTGCTATACTGTTTTCCACAGTGGTTGTATCATTTTACAATCCCACCTGCAGTGTGTGAGAGTCCCAACCTCTCCACATCCTCGCCAGCATTTGTTATATTCTGTCGTGTTGAACTTTGCCATTAGTGCTGGGGTGAGATGGTATCTCATTGTTGTTGTTGTTTTTATTTTATTTTGATTTGGGTGAAGATTTACAGAGTAAATTCACTTTTCATACAGCAGTTCACATATACTTTGTCTCTTGTCATTGACCAAAATTTACAATGCAGCAGCTCCCCTCCCACTTCCTCCCCATAGTTACCTCCTCCCAGTGTCCATCCCTTCATACTCTTCTGC